CTTATAAAAACAGTAGTTATTATTATAATTATTAGATATTTGGCAACATTGATGCAAGATTGCTGAAGCTGTGATTTCTGGCTTTTAACCAGACACAGACGAACGAAGACAGTTTAGCTTTGAGCATGAAAACAGTTAAATCCAAAATAGTGAATACATGAACCTTCGCTTGGTCTTAGAATGTGGTTGATTTGCTCCTACATGTTCCTAGATGGGAACAGCACTTTGTATTCACCATTGTTACTGTTATTCATTTACTTACAAAGACAAAGTTGTGAAAAGTGGGCATTAGAATAAAGGCTCTTTCATAAAACAGTTCTGCAAAATGGTTGAACAGACCAGTCCGTCTTTAGGCTCTTCCTGGTTATTCCTAAATCATGAATGGAGCTGACCAAATCCAGTGGAGAAGTTAGCTTAGAACCAAGAGGTAGGAGCAGAACTCAGTTGGGCTGACATGTAGTGCTATAAATGTGTGACAGATATCACTTTGGAAAAGATGAATTACCTCTGTTAACTGTATTGATTCTCTTTGTGTTTAAGTAACATTTAATTAAAATACAAAGTTACTGTGCCTCACCATTGGCATTCACTTGATAATAAATCTGTTTGTTGTGGTTTGATTCCACGACCGGTTTGTCACACAGACCAACTATAAATCACATTAACTGATCCGCAACACCGGGTTACTTTTTTATATTTTTGCCATGTTTCACCTCTGTTACCAATCGTCACCTCTGTACAATCAAAAGTCACACAGAGGTGACCAGGGGGATCTAGTCCAGGCCTGGGCTGTCTTGTGAAAGAGCCTTAAGTTCATCCTTTAATAAGAAAGGGCAGTGTTATGGCCATTTTGATCAAATTGCGCTAAATAGGTTATGCTCAATCTCAAAAAAATTTGCAATAGCTGTTAGCGCCTAGTGTACGCGTATGATAAGAATGACTGTTAGCGACTACCACACCAATTTTTATTCAACAGAATTAAAGTAATTTTGTCTTTGCTAATATAATACACGTGGCAGCTAGCTGTTGGTTGACTTAGGGTTGGCTCTTAAAGGACATCAGTTGCAGAGGTAAATTCAGTTATTATATCCTGAAAGTTTTACTGAAAATCCTCAAGTGGTAGATATATTTGTTTTTGTTACAGAAAAACAGAGACACAGAAACAAAAACAATATTGCCCTTTTGCTTTCAGCAGTGGTAAATAATCCAAAATAAACTGGTTTAAATGTAGGCCAAAACGTCATATTAACCTTAAAAAGCTGATTCATGTTTTTCATATTTG